ATGCTCCTACCCATTTTGACTCTCGCACTCAGTCTCTCTCTTGCATTGATCTTTCTATCTGTTCCTCGCCCATTACACTTGATTTCACGTAGTCTGTTCTTCCAGATTTACATGATAGTGATCACTTTCCTATCCTTCTTACTTCTACTACATATACCCGACCGTTTTGTAATCCTCATTGGCAATTTGCTCGAGCAGATTGGGACTTACACTCCCATCTTACCACCTGTTGCGAGGACCCCCTTTCGCCATCTATTGATGAACTGGCGCACTAATTTTTGACCTTAGTCCTAACTGCAGCGACTCTTCTATCCCCCAAACCTCAGGTAGGCATTCTCAGACATGCATACCTTGGTGGTCTCCTACATGCACCCGTGTGGTGCATTTAAAACGTGTTACGCGTGGCCGTTATTGATATAACTGTACTGCGGAACATCTGTTGGACTTTAAGCAGGTAAGGGCAGTTGCTCACAGCACCATACGCAACACTAAATGAGCTTGTTGGCGAGACTACGTGTCTACCATTACCTCGTCTTCCCCTGTGTGTGTGATTTGGAAAAAGGTGCGGAAATAGTGTGGTACATAACTCCGGACCCAGCTCTCATTTTGAGGGTTGCTGAAGTTGATGTCGCAGAACCTTTAGAAGTTGCCACATAAATCGGGAACTATCTTCTCCGTATCTCCCGAGGGCTTCACCTCTGTCCCTCACCTCTTGATACTAAGCCTACCAAAGAGCAATCGCCATTAGATTTCTCCTCCGATGGATTGGAGCCGTATAACGTACCTTTTACTCTTCTAGAATTAGAGTCCATGCTTTTCACATGCCGGCTGTTGGCACCGGGACTTGATATCCATATCAGTATGCTACACCATCTCCATTCTGCGACCCTTCCCATTCTTTTATGTCTTTTCAATCTAATTTGGGAGCGAGGGGTTCTCCCACAACACTGGAAATCAGCTATTGTACTACCGTTTCGCAAACTGGGCACTTCAGAGCTTGACACCTCTCACTATTGTCCCATTGCCCTGACCAGTGTGGTCTGCAAGGTGATGAAACGATTGGTGAATAGACATCTGATGTGGTTCTTAGACACAACAGCCTTTCCTGTTGCCAATATGGCTTTCACAAAGGCCACTATACTTTAGACCCCTTGCTCCACTTCGATACGTATATTCGAAATGCCTTTGCTAACAACCACTCTGTCCTAGCGGTCTTTTTTGATCTAGAGAAGGCATATGACACCACTTGGAGGTATAACATTCTAGCCCAAACGCACTCCTTAGACCTCCGTGGTAATCTACCAAACTTTATTGCTGCTTTCTTGTCCGACAGACATTTTCAGGTCCGTATTGGAGCCTCGCTTTCCTCGGACTTTGTACAAGCCTAAGGAGTCCCACAAAATTGTGTCCTCAGTACTACTATTATTCTCTTAGCTATAAATAACTTACCTTCCATTCTTCCTTCGCATATTTGGTCATCACTTTATGTTGATGACTTCACTATAGCTTACTCAAGCTCTGACTGTCGACTAGTAGCAGCCTCCCTTCAGGTTGTGATAGACTGAGTCTCCCACTGGACCACTTCTCATGGCTTTAAATTTTCCAGTATGAAAACCTGATTCATTACCTTCGCTAGATGCCTGCTTATACTGGATACTCCCTTGTACTTACATGGTTCATGTATTCCAGCATGTGATATGGTCAGGTTTCCAGGCCTGGTCTTTGATCGCCGGCTGACGTGGAGACCTTACATTTCTACGTTAAAGACAACTTGCCATGGTCAGCTAAATCTCCTAAAGGTTCTCGCACATCGTTTATGGGGAGTGGATCGTAGCACTCTCCTCCATTTGCATTCCGCCCTTCTTGTCCAAGCTAGATTATGGTAACCAAATCTATTCTGCAGCATCTCCCGCAACTCTGTGTCTAAGTTAGATCCTATACATCACCAAGGTCTCTGTCTGTGCCTTGGTGCCTTTCATTCATCCGCTGTAGAGAGCCTCTATGCAGAAGCGAATTTTTCATCCTTGTCTGATCGCCATGGTGCTCATTGCCTTCGTTATTATGTTTGATCTCATGACCTCTACAATCCTTCCGTATAGAGGATAGTCACTGATGTTAGCAGACGTTCTTTATTTGTTCGTCGCCCGTTTACTCCGTCTTTTTTCTCTCCGCCTACATTCGCTCGTCTTCTCTTCAGTTACTACCTATGTTCATGTAGCATCTCGGTTTTCCCTGCCCCCTTGGGAAGTTCTGGCTGTTCGTGTCTGTTCTTTCCCACTGCCATGCGCGAAAGCTCAACTACCTACAGTGGCTTCTCGCTCTCTTTTTCTTGATCACTTCCACTCTCATTCTCATGCCATTGTGGTGTATACCAATGGTTCTAAGTCTTCTGAAGGCATTGGATTCACAGCAGTTTTCGGACAGTGTTGTGCAAAGGTATTTATTACCCTCGGCTAACATTTTTATGGCTGAACTGTATGTCATTCTTGTAGCACTCATCCGTATTGCATCTACGCCTGTGTCACCATTTGTGGTCATTTCAGACTCCCTTAGTGCCTTACAGGCTATATGGAAATTAGATACACCTCACCCCCTAGTTCTTCGTATCCAACTTCGGTTACGCCATATCTCTAGCAAACACAGAGATATTGTTTTTTATTGGGTCCCTGGTCGTGTTGACGTAGAGGGCAATGAACAGGCAGACAATGCTGCATGGTCAGCAGTACATGACCTCCCAGTTTCATGTAGAGGTGTTCCATTCATGGACTATTTTGCTGTAATTGCTACCCATCTTCACACCTGTTGGCAACAACATTGGTCTGATCTGCTCCATAACAAACTTCATTCTGTTAAACCGAGTATAGGTTTCTGGTCATCTGTGTCGAGGTTGGGAGACTACTCTCTCCCATCTTTGTATCGGCCACACTCATCTTACAGGTATCTCATGGAGAGGCGTCCTGTTCATCTCTGCGAGAATTGTCAAGTTCCAGCATCTGTTAGCCACATTCTGTTGGACTGCCCACTCTATCAACAAGCACACAGAATTTACCTCCAACCTCATCTTCGCTCTGTTGCCCTTTCTTTACCTTCCCTTCTTGCTGACGGACCCTCTTTTAATGCAGACTCTCTCATTGACGTTTTGCAGAAGCTGATTTACTACACAAACTCTGATGATGTCTCTAGCACTCTCCTCAGTCCTTTCCCCTTTAATCTCTAGCTATCCTCTACCCCTCCTATCCATGCCCCCCGCATTTCAAAAACCAAATAACATCCCCTCCCTCTTTCTACCTTTACCCTTGCATTTTCCCTCCCCTGCTATCTGAAAAACCCCCTTGGGGTTTTAGCCTTTTTTTTATTAAAAATAATTTGAGGAACAGAGGGTTTTTTCACTATGGCGCATCGATTTTGCTTTGCTGACTTACTCTTTGGGCCCCAATTGTTAAAAAAAAAAAGTTATTCTGCCTCTTTTCCATTATTCCGCAGAATGCTGCTGACCCGGAAAATGTCTGCGTTTATATAAAACATTTGTCAGCATTTTTATATTTCCATAATTCCAAAATTTGAAACTACAAGAAACCCTATCTTGGGAAGTCCTTCAGCATTTCCACCCAAAAACCAGGGCATAGTAGTGACAGTTGCAAGAGGCGGGAGTGACCTGCTCAAAACTCTCTTCCCGGGGTTTATTAAATTTCGATTCCATTTTTTTGCAGATTGCTTTAAGCTTCCTTTACCCTTAAAGGCCCCAAACTTAAATACTTTTTTTTCAAAAATGAAAGTAGAAAAAAATTTTTAGATCTTTTTTTCCTGTTTTGCTTTTAAAAAAATTGTAAAAAAAATTTTTTATCTACTTTTTTTTTTTTATTTTTAAAAATTTTAAAAAAAAAACGTAGTCTACTTTTGGAGCACTACAATTTGAAAGTCGATCTGTCTGGGCCGTTTAACCCCTTTGACTGTCCGGGGCCTATAAACCTTACAGGTCCATGTTTGACTATAAAATTTTCCCTAAAATTTTACGGCTTCAAATCAAGCAGAGAAAGTGGGAGGGGGCCCCCATGGAAGAAGGGTCTGTGGGGGTCAGGTGCCCATAAAAAAAAATCCTGGAGAGCCCAAAATGAAAAAAAAAAAAACTCCGACCGTTTTTTTAATTAAAAAGCCACTTTGTGTCTTTTCGTTTGTATTTAGGTTTATTCTCGTTTTCGTGGTCTCTTTGATAGAAGGGAAAAAAATTATAAAATAGAGGTGATTTTGATTGATTTTAAAATAAAAAAACCTGAAATGGAGCCAAATAGGGGGAAAAGTTTTATTTTTGCCAAAGTTTTAAAAGTAAACAATAGCCCTTGTCCAATAAATGTCCAACTAGCCTTCTAATATGCGATAATGGGTTATGTTATTTATACAATTATTTTCAGTATTGCAGTAGCTGCATAATATAAGATTCATTTTTTGTTTGAAAAAAAATTCAAAATAAAAGCAAAGTAATATCAGAGGGGGGCCGGAGACATGATGATGACCAAAAAAAATGTTTTTTTTTAGAGCCAAAAAATTCTGCATTGTTCATTCGGGCCTATTTGAAATTTTTCAATTTTTTTTGTTTTCGTGAAATTTTGGAAAAATTCAAATTTCTGCCACATTAAGGGATTGAAACGGTAAATGGGCAGTTCTTGTACTCAACGAAAGAAATGAGTTCAAAAAATAGCTAGAGTTTTGGGGGACTGGAAAAAATGGGGAATTTGCCCAAAATAGGCTCAAAGGGGGCGAAAAACCGATTTGTAAACAGCGCCGAGGGCCTAAATTTGCGAGAGCATAATTTCCTCAGTTTTCCCATCAAATTTTGTTTTTTTTTTTGGGGTTTACAATCGGGAAAAAATTCACCATTTTATAAGAAAAAATAATTTTTTTTTTTAAATTTTGCGACCCAGGAGACACCTCAGGATTGGGGCTGCGACATCAAAGGGGTTTAAAGGGGTTTAAAAATTTTGATAATGTAAAACATTTTGGTTTTATAAATCTAGTTTTTTTTTACTACTCTGCTGCCACTTCTTAAAGGGTAGACTACATATCATGGTTTAGTGATTGTGGGATGACACCTGTCTACATATCTCCATAGGCTATTTAAGGCTTTTTTTTTTTTTTTTTTTTTTTTTTTTACAAATATGGAGTTGTGTGCATCTGGACCTGGGACAGTGAAAAAGTCATTGCTAGCATGCTCATATAAAGTCAATTAGGATTATGGATTTGTCAGATGCATTGTCATTGTTTGGTATCACATTCGTAAAATTTAATGTGTCAATCTTTGTTTGTATCCTCAACATTTTCTTATGTGAGAGTTTCATCTCCCATGCATTGTGTTGAGATCCTCACATACTAAACCATCACTCTCTGTAAATCCCTCTCCTTTGCCACATGTACATCCACAAATGCATGCATTATTTCTCATAATGACAATTTTACAATTAATGGAAGACAAAATATAAGATACTTCAGTGACTAAGATACTTCTTAATATATATATACATTTCTAATACTGAAGAATTTTGACCGTAACATGCATTTTAGGTTATAATTATTGCTTAAGCTATCTACTATTTATTTTACTTATTTTTTTATATTCTGTAAGGTTTAATGCACTTGCTGCATCCCATGTAAGTGGAATTAGAATAATATTAATAGCTATGTTAAAGAAACTATAAGATGTATCCGATAGTGTATTAGTACAAGGAAAATGATATACTGTACGTAGCAAGGAGAATTAGGAAGATTATGTAGGATTAGAATTAAAATAATATTCAAATCACAATACATTATTATGGTCAAGCTGATATACTATCATACACTGTCAGAACGATCACGCATCCCAATTAGCTTTTCTTTAAGAATGTTAGCTAAGCTTGGTTTGTTATTAAGTGATGGAAGAGAGGAGCAGGAGCGCTGAGGTGAGTAAGCAGCAGCTGCCCCTATGGAACCTGCAACAGAACCTGGAGTATGATGGCGGTGACAGTAGCAGGGGCCCTGGTGGTTTGGGGGAAGAGCTGCATGATGGTAAGGAGTCGTACCTATGGTGAAGCGTGGATAGTCGCACATCTCGCACTTGTTCATATCTGGATGATTGATGAAGGTGCACTTGGTACATCCCCACTTTGGACCAATCTCATCTACTGTTTCACTGTGCACTCCCTGATGAACAAAAAATAATGATCAATAAATGGATGGTGTAGTGTACATAATATTCCATTAAATCAATAAGTTAAAAAATTTGTTTCTTAATTCATTTACAGTTTTTGCTATAAAAAATATTTTTATATCCTGCTTAATTTTTTTTTTGCCTTGCCTTGGTGAAAAATAGGTGATACCATACACTATATTAGTATCAAGTTAAGCTTAAAAATATCACCAAATTTATGTTATAACTACAGTGGACCCCCGGTTAACGATATTTTTTCATTCCAGAAGTATGTTCAGGTGCCAGTACTGTCCGAATTTGTTCCCATAAGGAATATTGTGAAGTAGATTAGTCCATTTCAGACCCCCAAACATACACGTACAAATGCACTTACATAAATACACTTACATAATTGGTCACATTGGGAGGTGATCGTTAAGCGGGGGTCCACTGTATATACAGATTTGGAGATCACAATGTTATCCCAATAACTGTTATTTCCATTTGCCAGAGGCATTGTCTGAACACAAACAGCTAGAGCAGCAAGGACTTCAGTCAAACTAGATAACCAATTGCACTGAGACAACCAAGGGAAGTACTGTGTCCCCAACTCTTAACACAGTAAAACTTTCAAAAACCTGAAAGCCTATTAAAATATACAGTAGAGTATCTTTAAACTATGACTGGAAAGATACAAAACTTTCAACAACACATTGTATTTTGGGAATATTTCTTCAGAATCAAATATTTTCAAACCTGAAATTCATGGTAACTATGATTGGGGACTGAAGTTGGCGGTGGTGGTGGCGGTGGTGGTGGCGGTGGTGGAGCAGCAGGTCGAGGTGGAATATAAGGAGCATGTGATGTATGGGGTATGTGAGTCATGTGAGGTATGAGGGGTGTCTGTGGTGTCTGTGGCGAGCCTGTTCCACTGCCCAAACTTGATCCAGAACTTGCTCCTGTTGGAAAAAATAAGAGTAATTGGTTACCAAACACACAATTTTTTGTTTATATATTTACATGTATCTTCTTCTTTCAACATACCAGCCGTATCCCACCGAAGTGGGGTGGCCCAAAAGGAAAACCAAAGTTTCTCCTTTCAAATATAGTAATATATACAGGAGAAAGGGCTACTAGCCCCTTGCTCCCGGCATTTTAGTCGCCTCTTATGACACGCATGGCTTACGGAGGAAGAATTCTGTTCCTCTTCCCCATGTATAACTGAATTAAATAAAAGGACATCACATGTTTTCATGGTAGCTAAATGATTTGTACACCAGCCAAAAAAGCAAAGTGTGACAAGTTTTCAGGCCTCTATGGATCCTTCTTCAATGCCAGATAAAAAAAAACTGCAAGCAGTCACTTAGCTAGAGCCAGGGAACTCATCCAAATTTACAGGTTCAGATGCATCATCAGTTTGGTTCAAGAGATTGAGGCTTAATATTGTACAGGGAAGACCACTAAATACCTTGATAATTGTGAGTAACCAAAGGGGCTATATACAATAAACTTTGCTCATAATACTGTATATAATACACTACAGAAATACAATAACATTGTATAAACAGATAAACAATACTTTCCTATAACCTCATAACATCCAAGCAAATACAATAATTAACCCCTTCAGGGTCCAAGGCCCAAATCTGAAGTGGTGCCCCAGTGTCCAAGAATTTAAAAAAAAAAAAAATTTTTTATTTTTCTTATGAAATGGTAGAGAATCTTTTTGTGAAGGTAATAAAACAAAAAGTACAAAATTTGATGGAAAATTGATGAAATTATGCTCTCGCGAATTTTGATGTGTCAGCGATATTTACGAATCGGTGATTTTGCCGACTTTGACTCCCATTTTAGGCCAATTACATTATTCCAGTCAACCAAATTCTTAGCTATTTCACTAGTAATTACTTCTTTCTATTGATTGAGCACAAGAAATCGCTAAGTCAACTGTTTCAACTACAAATTAAAGTGATGGGAAAAATTGTTAATTTGGCCAATTTAACACAAAGTTAAAAAATATTCAATTTCAAAATAGGGTCCAGAATAAACAATGTAGGTATTCCTGGAACTAAACTAACATTTCCTCTGTTCATAAGTTACGTTTTGAGGCTTTACAAATAAATTCCATTTTGATTTTTTATTCAATAATGAATTTTTATTCACCACCAAAAAATAGAAGATTTACTGTTATGCAATACTGTAATAATTGTATAAATATCATCACCATATTTGTGAATGCATATTAGACCCACCAGCTGGCGTGTATTAGACGTGTGAGGTCGTTGTTTACTCTTGAATATCGGCAAAAATGTAACATTTCTGCTACTTTGAGCTCAGTTTCAAGCCATTTCCAGTGCTAAAACCAATCAAAATCATCTCTATATCTGTAATATGTCTTCCATTCTATCAAATAAGACCAAGAAATCGCAAATACAACTATAAAAAACATACGAAAAAACACTGCAAAGTCGCTGTTTTAATCGAATCATTATTTCAGTTTTTTTTCTCTCATTATACACAGTGTGCTGAAGGATCTGTTTTATGTGGTCCACACATACCACATAGATGTATTCTCTCATATCTAGGCCCAAATGTACCACTCACAGTTTATCAGAGTGAGCTGAGCTCATGACGTAGATCTACGGTTTGGGCCCTGAACGTAAAGCCGTAGATCTACAGGACGGACCCTGAAAGGGTTAATAACAAAGCAATGGATTACCTCAGCAAGAACATTCATTATTTTATAACATTAAAAATTAGAAGGCTAAAAGCTGCATGTTAAAAAATAATGGGAGTATAAAGAGAGAAATGAAGTGATGCTGTAGTTTGCATTAATGCACTTTATGTAATTCCAAGTGTAACATCCCTATTTCTAAGTGGGTGCAGCACATTCCTCTGATTACTAGTGTACTCAACATCAATTTCATACAAGGAACTATACTTAGGCATTTCAAAATGTATAATCCTACAGTCATACACACTAAAACTAGCATAGTATATATTTACAGGGATTTACTGCATGATATATACTTTTCAAATTATTAGCACAAGTTACAAACTTATTTTCCTTATAAATGGAGATTCTACCAACACTGGCATCATGGTCACTCCTCTGCTACAGTACAAGCCTTTACAGGCAATGTCATTGTTGCTTACTGTCCCAATCTTCCACAATGATATCCAAGCTTCCCTCCTTAAAGATTACACGAAGTTCCTTGCTCTCCTCCCCCTCCCCTTCCTCTTCTTTGCTGACTCTGTGCCGTGATGCCATGATAGCTTTGAAGATCGTCACAGCTCGGGAATACTTACTAGTTAGCTGAGAGGCTGCAGGCACTTCATTGTAAGGTTGGGCGGAGGGCAAGTTTGAGTATCCTTCCGATTCCATGTCGGGTGCTGCAAAGGTATAGAAATAAAAGTTTTTAAGCAAAGTGTATTTTGAAGGAAGATACATTTCTGTATCATAGACCTTGCGGTAGCCCAGTTATGCATCATAGACCCTGAGATGGCCAAGATGGAATGTATCATACCTATTTTCTACTGTACTTACAAACACTATCCTGGTAAGGTCTAGATTTTCAATTAATCCCTAGTTTGTTTCTGCCCACTGGTTAACCTGATAAATTAGACACATGTGCAACTCTTGGGTATCTTTATTAAGGAAACGTTTCACCACACAGTGGCTTCATCAGTCCATACACAGGAGAAACTTGAAGAACAGGAGGAGAATGAGGTAATCAGTCCCTCAACCTTGAGTCGATGTGGTCAGTTCATCAATCTTGAATAGAATACGGCATATGAGCGGAGAAGCAGCTTATAAACCGTAGGCAGGAGAGGTGCAGCAGTCGTAGGTGGTGTCACATTTGTGCAATGTGGAAGTAGGTCGTGCCCAAGGGTTAGGCAAGCGAAGAATTCCCAAGTATTAAGATCCCAAGAAGTTGCAGTGTCTGACAGGATTGTAGATGAATGGTTCACAGAACCGACACGTTGATAAATTAGACACATGTGCAACTCTTGGGTATCTTTATTAAGGAAATGTTTTGCCACACAGTGGCTTCATCAGTCCATACACAGGAAAAACTTGAAGAACAGGAGGAGAATGAGGTAATCAGTCCCTCAACCTTGGAAATTCTTCACTTGCCTAACCCTTGGTCACGACCTACTTCCACATTGGACAAATGTGACACCACCTACGACTGCTGCACCTCTCCTGCCTATGGTTTATAAGCTGCTTCTCCGCTCATATGCCGTATTCTATTCAAGATTGATGGACTGACCACGTTGACTCAAGGTTGAGGGACTGATTACCTCATTCTCCTCCTGTTCTTCAAGTTTCTCCTGTGTATGGACTGAATCAAAACAGGTACATAAAGACACAAGACACAGTTTATTATTATAATGAAGCACTATACTTGTAGGGGTTATAAAGTGCCTGGGACATGGGAGGCAATAAGGTTTGACCCACAGAGGAGATTCAAGCCAACTCCCTAGCTCAAGAGCCCTTGACTAGCATCAAAGGTTTCCCTATAATGAATACACTAGAATGAGAGAAGTATGAGGACAATTTCTTTAGATACTTGAAAAGCATATTTGTCGCAAGCCAATATGTTTTTCAGTAAGTTTTTATTACTTGACGATGCATCAATGAAGGAAATCTTTATCAGGTTATACAGAAAACAAACTATGCCTTACATAAACTGTCCAAGTAGCTGAGTGAGGTGAGGACTTAGGCCATGTGAATTGAACTGCTATATTGGTGAGGTCACATGCTGTCAGGTGACATCACTTACACAGGGTCCAGAATGGCAGCCCAGAGTCTCAAATCTTCATTAACTCAGACTTCCTACAATAAATTATTCACCACTCACTATAAGCTAAGGATGAAAATATATTAAGGTAAGCAATATGTGTACTGTATATGCATTTTTTTAGTCCTAGCTCTATTGTTCACTTAATATATGATAGTGTAAATGTTTAATCTGGCTTTTATATGCATTTGAAAGCAAAAAAAAGGCTATGTTTCTCTTTACAGTGATTTTCACTTTACAACAGTAGCCCAGAACCTAACCTGCTGTATAAGCAGGGCCCTTCTGTGTGTGTTCCCATGGCCCAGTCCCAGTACAGGCCTTCCAGTAGATGGCTTTTTGCAAGGAGTCCAACATGCACACAGTGGTTTAAGATACATGTGCAAACACTAGACCATATTTATTAGAAAACAGTTTGGTCCTGGGACCTTTATCAAGGTCCCAGAACCAAGTGTTCGCTCACATGTCTTTTTAAAATAAATGCATCAGCATCAATTACCAAGGTCTATACAGTGGAACCTCTGCTTAAGAGTTTAATCCGTTCCATGACCTAGCTTGTAACCAGATTTGCTCATATGCTGAGTCAATTTTCCTCATTTAAATTAACTGAAATACCATTAACCCTTTCAGGGTCCACAGGCCCTCTCAGATATTTGTTCTCAGGGTCCCCCAAATTTAAAAAAAAAAAAAAAAAAAAATTCTTATGAAAAGATAGAGAATCTTTTCCCGATCATAATGACACCAAAAGTATGAAATTTGATGGAAAACTTAGGGAATTATGCTCTCGTGAAGTTAGCAGTCTCGACGATGTTTACACATCGGCGATTTTGCCCACTTTGAGCCCTATTTTCGGCCAATTCCAGCGTACTAGTCAACAATCATACCTATTTCACTAGAACTCCATTTTTTCTATCGAATAAGTACAAGAAACCACCAATTTACTGATTTCAACTATCCAATACAGTGGTCAGAATTTAGCAATTTTACCAATTTCACACAAATTTCAAAAGATGCCAATTTCCAAATAGGGTCCAGAATAAACAACAAAGACATTCCTGGCACTAAAATAACATTTCCTCTGTTCATTAGTCACGTCCTCATGCCACACAAAAAATAGAAGATTTACTGTTATGCAGACTACTGCATTAGTGTAGAAATGGTATAAATAAAATCGGCGCACTTGAGAAAGGATATTAGACTCACCAGTTGACGTGTATTGGGCGCTTAGCATGATTTGTTTACTTTTGAACTTTGGTAAAAATCGAACATTTCTGCTACTTTGAGCTCAATTTCAAGGTACTTTTCCTTGTAAAACCAGTTAAAATCATCTCAATTTCTGTAATATGTCTTCCATTCCATCAAATGAGACCAGGAAAACTAGAATACAACAATAAATACCATACAAAAATACAGAGCAAATTCGCTGTTTTAATCCAAAAACACGGTCAAAGTTTTTTTTTCTCATTACGCAATGTGTGCTGCAGGATTTTTTATACTGTGCACACTGACCACATAGACCCATTCTTTCATATGTAGGCCTACCAGCTTTCTCTCACTAGATTTTAAGGCGCTAGAATTTACGAGTACTAGTACGTCAAGGACCCTGGCACGTAAGTCGTACTAGTACGGCCGAAACCCTGAAAGGGTTAATCTGTTCCAGCAGAATTCCTGCTCTCAGGAGGCAGGACAAAAATACTTCAATATGATGCTAATATCCACTCTATGGCTTATTTATCTATCACAATCATCTAATATGACATAATTAACATAGAAACATGATACAGAGAATGTAAAGAAATGAATTGGTTTTGTAAAGTGTACGTATGCTGGCGGAGAGCGGAAGATAGGCTACTTGCTACTAGCTCCTACTGCCACTGCACACCTCGCTTGTTTATCTATGATTTCATGCTGTAATTCCATGGACATCATCCTCTTTTTCTTCTCAGCACTGTCCTTTGCACTTACTTTCTTAGGACTCATGGTTAGAAAAAAGAAATCTGGCAATAATAACACAAGAAATGCTTCCATGGTGACATAGACACATTGCACAGCTCAGCTGATGTTGTGGCACTGGCTGTGCCACCTAGTGGCAATGTTCTGAAACTCACTTATATTCTTCTTCTTCTTCTTCTTTCAACACACTGGCCGTATCCCACCGAGGCGGGGTGGCCCAAAAAGAAAAACAAATTTTTCTTTTACATTTAGTAGAATACAGGGAAGGGGGTTTCTAGCCCCTCGCCCGGGATTTTTAGCGCATTTACAACCGCATGGCTTCCGGGGGAAAAATTCTGATCCACTTTTCCCCTGGAGATAAAAGAAAATAACAAGAAAAAAAACTAGAAAGAAAAAAAAGAAAACCCCGAGGGGTTTTGTTTATATGTTGAATTATGTGCGTGTGACCTAAGTGTAAGAGAATAGCAAGCGTACCTAAAAACTTTCATTTTTTAAACAGAAAAAAAGGAAAAAGCAATCCTACCATCCTAAAACAAATTTAAGGGTTTCGTTTTACCTCACTTGGGGGGGACAGAGTACCCCCCCCCGGGCAGTTTCTGTTACAAACCCACTACCTAGGACTCTCCCTTTTTTATTATTTTTTAAATTTTGGGGAAAGGAGCACAGATCTAACTCCTAATCAAAAGCCCCTCACCAGGCAAGGAATCCCTTTAGGGGAAGCTCGCAACCTGAAAATTTTTTCTCATACCGGGGCAAAAAATCAAACCCACGACAGTTTGTACTAAAAAAAATGCATGGGGGGCACTCAAAGCAAGGTTTCTGATTATGTTTATTAGGAATGACTTTAGGAACTTGTAGATTCCCCATGAAAACACTGGGGGGAAGGGGGGGGGGTGTCTGCTGGTAAAGTCCTTAAATTAAGTGAGGGTGTTGAAATGTCTTGGCTCCTTACACTTATTTATTATTCCAAAAGCATTCTTGTCCCTTTCTTTTCACTAAAGTATTTTTCCTCTACATTGAATGGATGAGATACTTTTCAAAAAAAATTGTGGCCCCCTTTTAAAAGGAGGGAAAAATATCGAGATAAAAAAAAGTATAGATATTTTTTACTGGGGTGTCTCAAAACACTTGGGGTGACGACCGGGCTTGTTGGAAAAAAAAAAATATAAATATTATATATATATATAATATAATTATTATTATTTATATATAAAAATGGACCAATTATGAAGTGTATTTAGTATTTCTTTGTGTGTATGTTTGGGGTCTAAAAGATAATCTATTTTAATTTTCTTATGGGGAAAAAAATTTGGGCAGTACTGCACCTAACATATACTGGGAAAAAAAAAGTTGTTAACCGGGGGGGCCAAGTATATATATAATTATATAATAACAGGAACCCCCCCCTTTACGGCGTTTCACTTACGCGTTCGCTAATACGACATTTTTAAAAATTAAAACCCAAAAATCCTAACGGCTCCCCCCCCCTGACTTTTTTAATACATCACCGTGCCCCCCCCTGTTTGTTTAATTCTCCATGAGCTCGTAAGCACTAAGTTTTCCATTTGTCTGGAAAAATCCAAATTTCAAATGTTTTTTAAAATTATTCAATTTTATTATAAATCGAAAATTTTACTT